ACCTCGACCAGGGGCGGCAATATGAATGAGGTGAAATATATGACGTTGTTGAGCCACTGACGCGTGGCTTCCTTTTTGGAATGACGTCATCACCTGTATGCGTCATTATTATATTTGCCCCCGAGGCGGTTCAGAGGATGATGTGACATTTTGGTTTCCCGCGCACGTTTTGAATCATGACTCTTCGATTTCTGCGCAACTCATCCCTATAAGTAGGAGAGAGGTTCGATTCGATTCAACTTTCAAACCTTCGGAAAGCATTTTCTGATTTACTCCTTTGTCTTTCTTTCCTGTAACCGTTATTTCGTGAGGGACTCTCCCACTTCTGTTGAAACCACACTTCCTATCGTCAGTGCTTCGTTTCTTACATAGTATAATCATGACAAAACGTGGACAGAGTAGTAAAAAGGCCAAAGATAATGCCCCATCTAGGGTTCCGCCATCTTCCGGTGGTGAAGGGGGAAAGGCAGAGAAGGCCCTTGTTCCTCTCAGTGTAGACAACGTCCTTCCGAAGGAGATGCATGTTCGCAGGGATTTTCCAACTAAAAGCCCAGACCATCCCTGGGAGCACAGCGTTTTATTACAATCCCACTTAGATGATCTTCGAGAGACGCACCATATTCCGGACCACGTGGAAATGGTGCCGGCCGGGACGGACTATGCCAATGTGCACCGGCCCGGGTATTGCACATTCTATGAGTACCCGTTCTTGATCGGTTACAATCTTCCAATCTACCCTCTGATGGAGGAGCTTTGCCGTTTTTACAATGTGTGTCCGGCTCAGCTCACTCCTTACACCTTGAAGGTGTGCCGTATTATGACCACTTATGCGGCCAGGGCTGAGTGCAGCGTCTCGGTCCACCACCTCTTACAGTTATTCAGCCCTGGTTACCTGAGGGGTACCATGCTGCAGTTAAAAAGTCATGGCACAAGGGGCTTGGTTGTTAAAGCCGATGACAAGACCAACCGCCGCTTTTGGCGTAAATATTTCTACATCAGGATGGAGCACCTGGTGTCGAATCCCGAAGGGTTCCCGGAAAGATGGAATCCAGAACGTAAGTATTTCTACTTGTAGAATTTAGGACTGCTTGCGCTTTTGACCATACGGCCATTGTGATTTCTTTGCTTTTCCCCCTTTTTTATTCGTAGCGAGGGCTTCCCCACCCCAGTTTACTGATGACATGAAATCATGGGTGGAAAGAATAATACCTTATGCGGAGGAATGCCGTACCTGGGCTGCATTTCTTCAACAGTACGGCCCGTCAGGTAATTTTTTGGCTAGGGTTTGGGAGTTTCCTACGTTCTTGTTACCTGACTTATTCGTGTTGGCAGGTCGGAGCGCCCCTAAGAAGAAGAAAAAGAATGTCGTCATCTCGCCTGGGGCGGGGACTGACTCTGAAGACGGATACATACCCTGTGGCTCGCCCAGTGATGGCGCTCCGGAGGTTCCTCAACTGCTGCCCCTGGCGGTGTCCACAAGTGAAGCGACTCCTTCAATGCCATCCCCACGGCCTGTGGAGGAGACTTCTGAGGGCAAGGAGCCGCCGGAAAGGAAAAGACGCTGTTTGATAACCGGCAAGGGGATAGCCACAGAAGACGAGGGGGTGAGCGAGCCCCGTCGGGAGTCAAGGCCAGTTTTTATGGCAGATGCCATCCGTTCCGGGAGGTCGGCTCCCCAAGGGGGGCGATTCCCGACGCTAGCCCAACACACATTACGGAGAGCGGCTCGTCGGCTGCCGTTGGAGAAGCGGGCGACGGTACCGAGAGGGTGGGCCCTGACGCCGCCCATGCGGATGCAGATGCGTTAACGCGGGGTCCGGCCCGTGTGGGATGACGGCAGGTAGATCCAACCGCCGAATTCTGATCCCAGGAAGGTATAACCTGTTGCAACACAGCGAGCAGGCCGCAACGGATATGACCCTACTATGTGCGGCCGCTGAGCGTGAAATGTTAAAAGGGGTTAGCGACGGGGAACTATCCCGGAGGGTTGCCGGCGCGGCCTTGCAGGTATTTTTCGATTTTCTTCATGTATCGTAAAGTAAATTTTGATGCATACTGACTTGCCTTTCCTCCTTTTCCTCTTCTTTAGACTCTCATCTTGGAGGTAGAGAGGGGGCGGCGAGCGCAAAGGAAGGCAGCCACCTTTAACAAGGTGGTAAAGAAATATCGGCGGTGCCGCGTCAAGCATCAGGCGCTGGCGGACCTACTCAAGCAGGACCGAAATTTTGGGTTTTCCGTGAGGGTTTGGAGCAGTCGGAGGCCCAGCTGAAATGGAGGGTGGCCGAGCTGGAGCAGATTGACGAGCAGCTGATGACCGCTCTGGCTCGAACATTGAGCTGGAGACTCTTCTCCAGTCTAAGGAAGAAGAGTTGGAGGTTGGCCGTGGGGTAGCGGCGGAAGCTGCTGATTTGCGGATCAAGGTTGCCGCTTTGACCACCGAACTCGATGCCAAGGCAGCTGAGATTGAAGTCCTTAAGCGGACTGTTGCACCAAGGCCTGACGAGGATGCGCATCGTGAGGCGCATGATATGTGGGTGTACGCCGAGGCCAGATTGGTCGTATTCGAGGAGTTCTTATCTGCGGGTCGAGCTACTGAGGCGGAGGTTCAGGAGCAACGGCGCATAGCCCGTGTCGCCCGTGAAACTTGTGGGTAT